TTTCCGTTCTTAATTCGTGAGTGCTTAAATGTGGACCATTCAATTTGGATTCGATCTTTGAAAGTTCCATGCGGATGGTGGGACAAAAATCATCCAAATTGCCGCGTGCTTAGGAGTTCAGCTCATTTTTTCTCGAAATTTCCCATTTTATGAAGGAGCTGTTACACTTAAAATAGTTATAATATAAGAAAAGGACTGCTAGCTCCTGAATTTACTGTTTTACTTCAGATATGGAAACAGCTACACGATATCGATGGTGGCGCCCGGACTGGAATTTCGCGATGCGGTCATTGACGCGGTGGCGAGGGCTTTTCCCAGGGCTGTTTTGAAGACTCCTAAAGGAAGCCTCACGCTCAGCTTGAAGTGGCAGGTACGTAAAACTTCTTTAGTTGGACCGCTCTTTTCGAACTCTCACATTCTCCCGCGAAAACTGGTGGAAGCAATGGCGTGCCCCCAGAGCTTTACCACTACGGTCGTCCAAAGTGGTTCTCGAACGTCTGGTGACCACTTTGCGCGACCGCAACGCATCTGTGGTGGCTTTTTCTCAGCAAGTCATACATTGTAACTGAAAACGGAACAATCTTGTTTAGATTCCGAAATCCGAAACGGATCGATGGTCGTCGCTCTTCCGTGACGTCCAAACATTGGCCGCATCACTGCGAGTTGTTGATTTTTGTGTAACGCAGTCCTCTCTTGAAGAGACTTTCCTAAGGCTCTCACTGGAGAGCGAAGAAGACGACACCTCGAGCAGCTTGACCCGATGACCCCATCCGTTCCACTGCCGGGTTGGTGCCCCCAGAGCTTTACCACTACGGTCTTGATCGGAGTATTCAGAATATTCTGGAAGAAGTTCACCATTGAACTTGGCCTTATTTCTACTTTCTTAGTTTTTAGCTTTCAAAAAGTATTAATGTAGCATTTACCCAAACATCTTTCCCGAATCAATGATCAGAAAGGTGCTGATATCGTTCCCGGTTCCTCATGGCCGACTTTAACGTGAGGTCGTTTCGCGGTAGCTGGCGTCGGGTGCGAGCGGTCGTGGCGCGGCGCTGGAGAAGACCGATAGATCAGTCGCGTCATGCTGCCTCTTTATGGGTGGTAGTGGGCTTTTGTTTTGTCAGTACAGAGTTTTAGTTTTTACGAAGTGATTGGAAAGTGAATCAATTCCTCCACAAAGCCGGGCCGCGTCCGCAGGCGCTTTGGTCAGCCAACCTAAAACCTGCCTTTTGGTAGAAATAACCTTATAGCTCGTTGGTTAGACTTCCTATCTTTGTAGTACTTCCAAAGCTGAATAGCACTAGTCTGTCCTTCGCAATAAGTACTGATTAAATCTGACAAATTTGCTTTCACTTCCTTCGCAATACGGAATGTTCCGGCTTTCTGTCATTCTCTTTGTCATTCATTCCAAATTGTACATTCAAATGTCATCTTAAACTATGTGATACAGTAGGTTGGCTTGGTGCCAATCCGAACGTGTAGATACTCTCTTGCAGTTGTGTTGGTTCCTGGCAGAACCATTCCCTTCATCAATTTATTATTTGCTCGCTCATATCGCTAAGCCCATTGTGAGATTACCCAAGTTACCTGGCTCTGCTAACCAGCTGTTTTTCCTTCCTCAGCCTTGGCCTATTATTTTCATGTTAAAACTTTGTTTTACGATCACCCATTGCTCGAATCACTAATAATGTATAGTATTATGTGTTCTAGGCTTGTCTGTGACCCGTTTTATGACGGTTTATATTAAGCCCACGCGGGTTAGCGCGCTTACGTAGCGCTCAGTCAGTGGGTTACTACTGTAACTTGGGCTTCGTTACCTTTATTTCGACTTGAAGTACATGTTTGGAGTTACTCTCTGCTTGAGAAAACTAGAAGCGCGTCGAGTACAGAAACACACACGGCAATGACGACTGCGTCCAATTAAATCTGATAACCAGTGGTTCATAGTTTTAGTTTATTAGCGAGGATAAGTTAGTTGGTAAATGATAGTTGTAATTAGTGACAACTGATAGAATACAACTGCTGCAGGCTAATCATTTCATTGGCAGAAAACATTTACATTTTGTGGAGGCCGTCGTCACTTGTGGTGTGTGGTCTGCACTCGACGCGCTTCTGGTTTTCTGAAGCAGAGCATGAGTGGTTTGACCCAATCGTTGTATTGGTCGTGCATTTCTGTCGCACGCGGCTCGCGGCTGTGCATATTGGGCGGTAGACCAAGAAATACCAGTCGATGTCCGGTTTTGTACCGTGACTGCACTGGGTAATGGGTTATAGGTTGGGTAGAAGGGGTTGGTCCCGCATGATTCGGAGAGGGTCATAAGCCTTGAGATTTTCTTGCTTGATGAGCTCTTTTATTGATAGAGTTCAAGGAAATTTCAGCAGTGTTCGTGACGCATAGGCGAACGATCACTCCAACGTACGCTCACGATTGCCACTGAAAATCAGAATGACGTCGGATCGCGGTCTGGTCGTGAACAAATTGACTATATCACAATAGACTACGTTAGCGACCAGTTCTTCATTTTCTCAGAACAAGGTATGGTTCTCTTTTTTAGATCTCGTCGATAATTTATGCGCTTCTATGACCGAGGGCTATGTGGCACATGTGCAGACGCGCGTGCCAATAATATGGCTCTGCACGCCAAAGACTCGACCCTTGTCAAGTAGGCGGTTTTCAGATCATCTGCTCCTAAAATCAACAGTAGCTTATTTATAACTAATGGTCACAGCCATCGAATCCACGAAAGAATCTATGAGGAGGCAACGACGAAACATTGGGAACAATTGCTCCAGTATGCGCTGAAACTGTCCAATATGGTGGTTCCAGTTGGGGATCAATGAATATCGAAGTGGATCTCCATTTAGGAAGAGGAGGAAAGAAGTCGACGAAATAGTAAAATTGGGTTCTCCTCGTTGGGTGATGGACGAGGTCACGACTCTGTCTGCAGACTTTCAAATAGACAGGCTGGCACTAGGTACTGAGGCGTGGGAGCAGCACGTGCAACG